GAGTTAAGTTTTTACGAGAGATTTTCTACTCAATTGCATGAGCTGTGCCAAAAGAGGGATTCTTAAAGATTATTTTCTCATTCACTCGCAGAGAGCTTTAAAAGTTTTACCAAGTACACATAAAAATTACCACACATGGATTAGTGGTGAAGAACAAGCTTTAATGTAACTTTTCAGGATTCTTTAAACATGATTCATAAGTCAAGTAATTTTTTTTGCATTATGCTACATTAAACGGCGTTTCAGATATGATCAACTACAAGTGAAAATATAATGCCTTCGTATTTTTCTTTCTATCTTTCTTTCTATTTTTCCTTCCCTAACTTCTTTTCTTTCATTCTTTCCTTCTTTTTCCTTTCTTATCTTTCTCAGAACTCTGTCGTCTGAAGTAGTCCCATCACTCTCATCGTAGCAGAAAGTGAATTCACGCGTAGAACGCCAGGCTTCCCACGGTGGCTGCCAGCTTTGACGTAATTTTTCAATTACTCCCAAACACCGCCAATTGCCTGCGTGTCTTCCTCTGATTCTAGCTCGGATTGTAGCGGAAGCAACTGCTTCACTCGCACAAAAGCAGTTGCCAACAAAAGCTTTGGCAGGACACCGTCGTGACGGATTGAGAAGCACAACGAAGACGTTCTAAAATGTTTGGAATAGAAGCTCCTTAAGTGGCTTACGCACAGAATTTTAGTACTGTAAATCTTTCGCTATTTACGACAATTAAAAATTGTTTTTAAATGAGTGTTTTCTATATTTTTGTACTTTTTCTTTCTCTAATAGGCAAAATAGATAAGTAAACGCAATGCTGCAAGAAAATAGATGCATGATTGAAGGCAATGCATGATTTGAAGGTCTCTGGTACTGAAAAGATTTTGTGATCAGTCTCTCTGCCTTGTATCAAAAGTATTATTCTCCGACCGATCTGGCTGCATTCGAGGCTCTGAGAATTATTATTTAATTTTCAGTTGTGCTTCCTTTAAAGCGCGTAGAGTATTTTCAAAAAATTCTCAAAAATGACTAAAATGTGTATTTATTAGACTTTTTGGCAGAATAGAAAATGGTGCCCATTACGAAATGGTCAAAGATCGATTTCGTTAAAGTCTCACATGTCTTCAAAATTGTAAACTTCTCCTTTGCTTTGAACCTTCTGTATTAAGATTAGAGACACTGCTTTCAACTTAATCGAGTCTTCAATATTGACACATTTCTGGGCGTCTGGTGCAACGTTTTCTAAATATTGGTGGTCATGATGCTTTAGCAGAAGCAGGATTTTTCTTTAGTCTACAAGCGAGGTGTCTTGATGGTTTCTACAGAATGTTGCAATTACACTGAAAATAATATTTTATTTATTAATTCTTATTTATTAATCGTGCATGCAAATGCGATCATGAATAATTTTAATAGTAATGAAAATAATTTGTATGTAACTAAAGTAATGATATTGTCAAACACAAAAGGTTAAAAAGTTAAAGATGAAAAATAAGAAAACACATAAACTACATAATTGAAACGTTTATACGAATGGCTGTAATAATTTTAGGAATTTTCTTATTACTTACAACAGCGTATAATATTTCGTATTATCAATACTGTAATTGTGAGAAGACGTGAAAAAGAATTTGAACTATTCGAATTTTCGAATAATTGTTATAACGGCTTCACATAAAGGCCTCCCAAAAATCAAAACATCAATGAAAAATTCGCAGGGACTCGAATTCAGCCAAATTAATCATATAATTTCAATTTTGGAGAAAATTGTCTGAATGGTTTCAAAATTCAAGCGAGTTCTTTCATAATACCTGGAAGCCTCATTCAAAAATTCAAGCGTGAAGTTTCAAGAATAAACTCTTCGTGTAGACAATTCCGTCCAAGGTCTCAGGCGTAGTGCATCGACTGATAACTTATAAGTGAGTGTTACATCTTCTGTTGTAACTCATGCGTGATAGATCTATCTCACTTTTTTGCTTTCGGCCTTCAAACAGCATAGGACATGTTGTCCGAACACTGATTAGAACAGACATGAACCAATCGCTTTGTTCCTTCATTTTCCTGTCTTTAATTCTCCGAGCATTTTCTTTTTAGGGCTCGTTAAGAATTAAACATGCCACATCTGCTGATGAATGATGAATAAACTCTTCGTGCTGGCATTATGGGAGTTTGGGAAGGAGGTGACGTCGCCGGGCTTTTTTGTCATGTTCAACACTCAATGCGAAGGCGAAAGCAGGACGCAAGATACTACTTCAAATATTTTATCTGATATGGAAGAAGTGTATAGGCTGGTGTTCCTGACGCACTTTGCTGTTAAGAATGAAACAAAGTTGGCGGTGTGGGATCGCAAAAACGCTGTCAACGCTATTTTAGGACCTTCGTCAGATAGCTCATTGCGCACTGCACCGCGCGCCGTACGTGCTCAAAGTGCTAGGAAAATTGAAGGATTGTGGACAAGAACATGGCATTCCAAAATTTATGTATGATGAGAAAAGTAATGAAAAGTGCCTAAAAAAATCTTTGGTACATTGATACTTTTTATCATGGGATATGTATATGTTCTTGGGATATACTCTGTGCTTTGTATAAAGCTTATAGCGGTAATCAAGCTCGGAAAGAAATTAATCGGCGGCTAAGTATTCCTACATACATCAGTAGGTGCACCATAGGCACAAAATAGATTTAAGAATGCAGAGAAAGAATTTGGGGGAATTTTCTTTCACAAATCTGACGATAACGGAACGGGATAGATTGCCTGCAAAAACTTTTGAATCCTTTCCTCGAAACGATCAACAGTTTAGGAAATTAATTTACGATATTACTAAGTAAATGAGGGACGTAAATAAGAATAGAAGGTTATAGAGCGATGCATGAGAGATATATTGAGAAGTGTGTCGTGCAGTGCAGAACAGATAAATAATGAAGGAAGTAATAAGGGTCATAGTGAAGAGAAATGCATTGCAGCGTCAGTGCAGTGTGGTCTTAATTGAACAAACATTCAGTGCGGAGTTAGATTATAGAAGTTTATTTTTCTTAAGGTAATTTAATGTTTTATGAATCAGACAGATTTTATATTATTAATTATTATTATTATTATTATTATTATTATATAATTTGCATGTTAGCTATATCTTATTTATTTAATGAGCCACCATTTGCAGTTTAAATAAATTTTTGTATTTCTATGTTTCTGGAGAGAATGATACCGTGTGTTTCTTTAAATGAATGGTTTATTACCAGACACATTGACGTGAATCAGTGAAAAGTAGCTTTTCTGTTTCAACAAACAAAACATCGTCTACGGCTGTATGTTGCAAACAGTGAGTCACGTCGTTGGGAGGTCTGTTCCAAAAACCTTCCAGAATATTTTTTACTTGTGCTACATCTGCCTCAAACAAAGCATATACTTACCGAGAATGTGACAGCAATAAGATGTGCAAGAAACAACAAACTTATTTATGTTGTGTCTGAAATAAACCATTCAAATAGAGTTTTGGCCAAAATAATTTTTTAACATTGACTATTATTGATGATAGCATTGCGTTTCGACCAACACAACCCTATCATTTCTCGACCTTGAGATCCCTTTTCTATCCATAAAAACACTTCTGATGATGTGCAAAGGGTTTTGGTAAGCTTTAATGAAATTTGTGATTTGATTTTTTAATCCTTTTGCTGAATTCGTAAATTAGTTCTTTGAAGCAATTCCTACTTTCGGGCTAATTTTTAATTAATAGTAATTTTGTTTTTGTAAAGATACTAAAGAGTCGATCATTATTTGGACTAGCTGTTCTTAATACTACAACAACTGTTGTTGCTGAACTGTATCATTACAGTCTTCTAATTGCAATTAGTTTAATTAAGTGAACTTACTTCGTTTAAATTAAAGATTAAGAACTTAAACAGGTGAATTATATTACAGGATAACCCAGGATAGAAGTTAATTACGTGAGCCTCACGCTGCTTCCCTAACTAGCTCCAGTCTTACGTTCGTTATTTCCGAAGAACCCCATCTCTCTACCAGATTTACAATCTGCAGTTTCGTTGTATATTATGTTTAGAAGAGGATAAATTAACTTGAAAACAGTTTTCCTCCAGTAAAAATTTTAATACAAAATAATAATCCTTAGCTGTCGGTAAACATTCTAGAAGCAAATGTAAATACGCATAACACCAAAAAATCTCTTAAAAAGAAAAAAATACAACATTTTAAAACACAAACGTTAATATAATTTTGAAGGACGTTGATGTTTATAATATGTACAGGGCTTTCCGAGATCTCATGATTTCCAGCACTTCACTTCCGAAAACACTCTTTAAGTTACCTATTTCATTTCTAATTTCTGAAAACTTCAATTGAGAGTTGACAAACAGTGGTACATTGTGAGATAAAAATAAATTACATGATGTACCAGAGGCATGAATTCGTCTAGTAATTCTTTCTTTAGTCATTCTATTTTTCAAAATTCGAAAAGTTTTAGAGATCTTGTAATCTCTCACATCATCAATTTTTCATCCAAAATGTTATAATAGTATATTATGCAACGGGTTTATAATGTTCAGCTCTATTTTATGAGTACATGTTTTGAAAATGAGTGACATTAGGAATGAGTATACAAATTTGTACGAATGCAATAAAGCGATATTATAAATGAGTTGCTTACTTAGTTATTTTATATAACGGCATTATAAATTTATAAGAGAATCAAATTTAACCATCTTTATTGTGACGTCACGCGTTTTTGGCATCTGATCGAAAAAAAGTGATCGGTTATTCTCTTCACCGCTACCCTTCCACGATGAGCTCCGATCGGCTCGTGTGTGATGGCGCAATTAATCGCACATTAAACAACAAATACGTCATCATCTGCGCCATGTCATTTTACGAACTGTTTCTTGTAACGAAAAATGTCGTTTCTATTGGTCTAATACAAAAATTTATTAGAAAGTCAAATTATCGTTACATTTTTGCAATGGAAAGGAAGACTAGTGCCCTGAATCAAATACGAACGTACCTGGATGACAAACATGACGGTGATACCAAAGACCATTGCTGTCTGCAGGTGCTGGTTCTCCAGAGTGTACTTGCCAAGGGGCAGCATGCTACCCATGCAGCCCACGAACAGCAGCAGCGCCGTGCCCAGGAACTCGGCGCCGAAGATGGCCGCTACCTGCATGGGCGTCTGCGGGGCCAGTAGGCTCCCCGAGCCGTCTCCGCGGAACGCCTTCTTGATTCCTGCGCAGAGACGCGCGCCAGGCGCTCAATTAGCCTCCGGAATTATTAAAAATGGTAGATTTTAGCACTTGGTAAAAATTCGTAATGTTACCAAACGGTAACATTTCGTTAACCGTTTGGTGACATTTCGGTAAATTACAAATTCGTATCCAGGCTGCCTGAGCCGTCCCGACGGAAACGACCTTCTGATTCTTCCAGAGGCGCGCACCAGGTTGCTCAATATAGCCTTCGAAAATCGTTATAAAAACACGGTAAATATTTGTAGGCAGATTGATAAAATATCTTGCGAAAATATACCTAAAAACTAGTAACATTTCGTTTACCGTTTGATAACATTTTTGTAAATTACGAATTTATATGTTGGACGGTCAGTACTAAATATTTCTGAAGGTTTCCAATATACAATAAAATGCAAAATCGTTCGCAAAACGCAAAATCACATAAAAATTTCAAATGATGGTGAATCTGCGATATGATTGCTAAATTACATTTTATGGTTTCGTTCTTGTTAGCTCTCTTACTAGAGATGAGACATGGACGACAACAACATATGGAGTTTTCAAAACAAATAATTAGAGAGGATGTCTTTATTAATATGTAATTAAGATTTCACTGACAAAACAAAGTAAAAAAATGAAAAATTGTTAAAACGTATCCAGAAAGCCTGGGCGCTCAGAGTGATTTCAAATAAATATCAGCTTCCTCAGTTCGCTGTGCGGAGAAGGTCACGTGAAGAAGAGGAAGACCCTGCTTCTCTAGTTTTTATATTTAAGTTCAAAAAGAGCGAGATATTAAATTAGTTTTCCTTATTTTAAAGGGAAAGTCTGAAAAGAATCAACATAATATAATCTCTAAGAGGCCCCCTATTATATTAATTTTCTTAATAAATGCTACAAAATGCGAAATATAATTCTTATACGCTACAAATCGCTACAGCATTTTTTAACGTGAGTATAAAAATGAAAAGTGCTAAATTCTATCATCACTATCACACTACATTATTTAGTTTATATTTCTTCTTAAATAAGTTCTTAAGTAATTGAATTAGTTTTATACATGTCTCAATGTGTTTAATAATTCATGAGTTTTGACGGTAACTATTCACATAAGCATGTGAGAATGTAGGCTTCCGCGGCCGGAGTCAGAATTTACCTGGCTGTCCGGGTGACGCAATGACGCCATGGCAAAAGTGCCAACGTTTCGGTCGCCATTGTGCGACCTTCCTCAGGGCAGCCCAGTAAACACATAAGCATGTATCAAAATAACATATCCTAGGTAAGATTAAAATAATTCCAATCAAAGTACACTTACTTTTTGTAACATGTATATTGTAAATGTTATAGAATAATAATTTTAACAATTCTTGTTCTCTATCACTTAAATTATGATTGCCTATAATATGTTATCTTGATAAAGTGGCCAAATCAGATTTTAGGACAAAAAGTTTTTTGGTCGATAGAATAACATAAATGTTTTTTTAAACAAATTGTGTAAAATGGAAGCATTATTACAATTTGATTTGTAAGAAAAACGATTTATGTTACTGTCTCGAAACAAAAGCTGATTATCTTAAAATCTGATTTGAAAACTTTATGAAGAAAATAATACTTGTTTTCATTACTTGAAAAAGACAAAACCACAAAATATTGTCGAAACGTTGTTCAATTCAGGGAAAAATCACTGAACTTCTTCGTTTTAATGAACTATCAAATGTTTGTTTAAATATTGACTAACTTCAATGTGAATGGTATCTAAATTATTGATACATGAGAAGTCAGATCATAGGTGTCACCATCACCAAGTTATTGGGAGAGATGGTACAAGAGATAATGCACAATTGTCGGAGAGTGCCCTTCAAAATACCCACTCTAACACAAAATATTTGGGGAAACGTTTCCTTCCTATCACGTCTCCGTAGCGGTGATACCCATACAATATATTATGTTAAGCTTTAAATAAATAAAATTACGTTGTACATGACGATAAATACGTAACGATAACGGTGTACATGTTGTTCGTGGCCTTATTTCAAAATCTATCTTTAAGGATCAGAGTTCTTTGAGAGAAAAGAGAACAGAATCAAGCGGGAACAAAAGTCATGGGCTTCACCAATTAATCAAATAAAAAAAATGAACTGCCGCTAACCACATGTCGTCCAGAGACTCGCATAAAAGAGAACAGGATACAAGCGGAAGCACATAAGTCATGAGCTTCACCAATTAATCAAATAAAAAAAAAGAGAACTGCCGCTAACCACTGTCGTCCTGAGACTCTATAAAAGAGAACAGATACAAGCGGGAAGCACATAAGTCATGGGCTCACCAATTAATCAAATAAAAAAAAGAACTGCGCTAACCACTTGTCGTCCTGAGACTCTCATAAAAGAGAAGACAGATACAAGCGGGAAGCACATAAGTCATGGGCTTCACATTAATCAAATAAAAAAAAAGAAATGCGCTAACCACTTGTCGTCCTGAGACTCGCATAAAAGAGAACAGATACAAGCGGGAACACATAGTCATGGGCTTCACCAATTAATCAAATAAAAAAAAATGAACTGCCACTTGTCGTCCTGAGACTCGCATAAAAGAGAACAGATACAGCGGGAAGCACAAAGTCATGGGCTTCCAATTAATCAATAAAAAAAAAGAACTGCCGCTAACCACATGTCTCCGTGAGACTCGCATAAAAGAGAACAGATACAAGCGGAGCACATAAGTTCATGGGCTTCCACCATTAAATCAAATAAAAAAAAAAGAAACTGCCGCTAACCACATGTCGCCCTGAGACTCGCATAAAAGAGAACAGATACAAGCGGGAAGCACATAAGTCAGTGGGCGTTCACAATTAATCAAATAAAAAAAAGAACTGCCGCTAACCACTTGTCGCCCTGAGACTCGCATAAAAGAGAACAGATTACAAGCGGAAGCACATAAGTCATGGCTTCACCAATTAATCAAATAAAAAAAAAGAACTGCCGCTAACCACATGTCGCCCTGAGACTCGCATAAAGAGAACAGATTACAAGCGGAAGCACATAAGTCATGGGCTTCACCAATTAATCAAATAAAAAAAAGAACTGCCGCAACCACATTCGGTCCTGGAACTCGCATAAAAGAGAACAGATACAGACGGAAGCACATAAGTCAATGGCAAGGGTGAGGGTCAAAGCGATGCGCGTGTGGGAGAGTGGGGGAGGGGGAGGCGCAGGCTGGCCGTGAGGGCGCGCGCAATCAAAGGCGCGTTCAGGCCGCCACCCTGCGCCGAACCGCTTCGCTGTGTGGTGCGACACGGCCGCTGCGCAGCGCCCAAATCCCTCTCCCCCCCCCCCGGCGGAGCAACTGGCTCTGCCGCGGACAGCTTTGCTTGGGGTGATTACCCGACGCGAGGCCACTCTAAACCTTCTAATCGATGAACGCGACACGAAGAGTTACTTTCACCTTGGGAAGACTTCCTAACAGTTATGAAGTGGAAATGGTATAAGCAAATACTTATATAGACAATACAGAACACTGAAATTCTTCATACCCCTATGGGAGACAACTGTTCAGTAGCGAACCTGGTGGCGTGACCGGAAAATCGGGACAAATCATATTTCAATTGTTAAAAAGACCCTATTGAGTTCTCTGTTTCTAATAAACCTTTTTGCTTATTACCAACTTATTAATTATATATTATTACTTTCGCACTATCGCTTACGCAGTAGAGGAACGTATGTATGCTACGCAAAAAAGTGGAATATTTCGCATAAAACTCCCATTACGGGTCCTGGTAGAGGAAAAAAGGGATATATCTAGTTACTAAATTTAGAAAAGTTTCTAACACTTGTCGTATCCGCAATACATGTTTTGTGGTCCTTGATACCGAAAAATCGATTGGCAGCAAGAACGTTGCTCGCGTCGTCATGGACAACGCTAGCATACTGTAACATTCAGCGGAGTTTTTCCTAAATTGTATTCTCCGATCGATAGGCTGATGCCGTGGCTATTGGAATTTGAAACCAAATTTTTGATGTTTTAGGGAGTACATGTCCTGTTGGGATAGTTGTTTAATTTAAAAAATATCTCCATCGTTTTGATTAAATTTTGTTGATGAATAATGTGAAGGAAGTAGTGCAGGTCTCATTTCGTTAAAAACCCTGATTTTCGAAAACAGCAAAAAATTCAATTTTTTCGGAGTCTTTTCTACAACTACATTTATAACGATATATATATATATATATAATATATATAATATATATATATATAAGTATTATAATACATATATATTA